CATCATCTCAGAATGTGACCTTCTGAAATCGGCGAATATCACCGAACCAATTCATCCTTCAGGACTTGTTTCTCCTGCACACCGAACTCATGAAGAATCTAACAGTCTTAGGACTAGAGTCAACCAATCCTTCGACGACGCCTCTAGTCGTATCTTAGGGCCAACTTTTCCTGCTCTGAATCTGCCGTCTAATCCTGATCCAAAATTTACTGAACTCTGCCATATGGAAGGACTGTCACACACTCTTGGACATCCTTGTCGGCCCTCATTGGTCTCCGTTTCAATGCCTCCACTTTCGATCGGCTCGCAGACCCATTCACCTGTTTATTTGGCGAGCTCAATTATTCCTACCACAAACAGCGATCCCCTCAGTAACTCGAATGGTTACCAGCGCTTAGTTCTGCCGCCAGGCCAGTGTATTGCCTCCACTCCTGCAACCGCTGAAATCACTACTTGCAATTCTGCGGTAACATCCACCGAAAACATCCACTCTATCTCAGACTCAGTGCAGCTATCAGACATCCATAGTCCTGGATATATCCGTTGCCTATCAATGTCATCGACAGCTTCTGGCGGTGATGACAGCGCTGGTGAATGCACTTATGATGAGGTTACAGTGGCTGCCTCTGACTTGGATATCGGTTCCCAGGGCATAACCCAAATGAGCAGCAATCAAGACTATAAGAGTGAAAATGAGGGCGAAGAAAGGGATAGTGAAACGGGCATAAAATTAATTCTACCCGAAGATGTTCTATTTTTCCCAGCTATTCTCAAGCAGACGCACCGATGCCTGAGCGATCCGTCTGACCATTTTCTACCCATGTCCGGCCATGTAACTGAACTGAGTTTGGGAGATAAAGTTGAACAGAACTCCTTGGACAATCACGATAGCCATCCGGTATTGACCGCAGAAATGTCCCCATTACCACCGATTTGCTCTATGGAAGATGAGAAAATCTACTCGAATAGCTCTGTAGGGGAAACCAATTCCTCAGTTTTGGCGGTTGATGAGAACTGCGAGTATCCGGCGCAGGAGACGATGAGGTGTTTAGATGATAAACGAACTGCTGACGATTATCGCGATGTCATACAGGTGGAAAAAGAGAGTAAGTGTCCTCCATCACAAGTATTGTATAAGTTTATTATGAGCATGCGCGCCACAATTAATACTTGTGAAGCAGAAGCGAATAAAATCAGTCTTTGTCTCATGGCATAACATGTCATTTGGCTTAAAACGACTCTCAGTTAATAACAGACGCATGAAAACACATCTTATTTTTTATTGCGCGATA